TTCAAAACAAACAAGCAGACTACATGTGCATAGCTTTCCACGATCTTGATATGATGGACTAGAGAGAAGGCAGCAACCATCAGAAACTACTGGGCTACTCTACTAATATAGCTGGAGTTTGGTCTCTCACTCTTACAACGCACTAACGGCTACAACGACGGAATGTAAACCATAAACCCCCGGATTCAAGTGAAGCTCAGAAGGCCAACCATTAGGTCATGCCAGTCCACAGTTAAATAATAAGTGGATTAAAGTTTCAAGATAATATGTACATTGGGAACAACCATAAAGTCCATATGGCTTAACCATAAATTCCATATGGACCCAACTGGCTTTTAAAGCATTTTTTTCTAAATTTTTTTCATGTACCAAGCTACTTATAGGTACGTGACTTTGTTTGTTAGTTTGTTGAATTTTTGTGTAAAGCTATTCGACGAATATCTGTGCTAGCCGTCCTTAATTTAGAAGTAATAGACTAGAAGGAAGGCAGCTAGTCAACATTGCCCACCGCCAACTCTTTGGCTGTTCTTTACCACTAATAAGTATTATAACAAGCCTTCACGGCTTAATGGGCGAATATGTTCGGCGACGGGCTTCGGACTCGCAGATTGTGAGTCGCTTTCCATAACCACCAAGCTATTTGCCAGGATACTTATGAGTGAAAAGAAATAAGAATATATGAACCACACTATATCTGCCATGTTTAGGGTTTGTTTGTTTGTTTGTAGTTAAGCACAAAGCTACACAAAGGGCTATCGAAACCCGGTTTCTAGCGTTGAAAGTCCGCAGACATACCGCTGTGCCACTGGGGGGCGCCATGTTTAGGGCAGGTATTTTATATTTTTATTATATAATACGTAAAGGTTTGAAAACCCTATAACTATCGGCATCACGTTTCTTTTGTTTTCGGATATTCGCGCAAAGCTACACAATGGTCTATCTGTGCTCTGCTGACCACGGGTATCGAAACACGGATTCTAGCGTTGTAAGTCGCAGACATACTGCTGTGGGCTATATATATATAGTGCGTAGTTGAGTTATTTGCCCTAAGTCTTGATTGTTTATTTAGAGCAAAGCCACATTGGGCTTCCTGCTGTATCACCGCGAAGAACTGAACCCCGGATCTTAGCGTTGTAAGCCCGTAGACTAACCGCTGTCCCACCAGGAGACTTTTCCTAAGTCATTTATTATTAATGCTGATATTTATTCTAGAACTTTTCGGGTATCGAAACTCGGTTTCTAGAGTTTTAAGTCCGCAGACATACCGCTGTGCCACTGGGGGGGGGCAGACTAGAGGGAGGATAACTAATCAACATTTACCCACAGTCAACTCTTTGGCTACTCTTGTTTCACCGAATAATAGGATTTGACTGTTACATCTATAAAGCACTCACGGCCCCATACTGCAAAACGCGATTTTTCTTTATCGGGACCCAAACATTGGACCCTTAGATCCATAGTCCGGCAAGTCGACCACTACTTCACTCTCGGCCCCTCGTTAATAGGAAAACCCGACGTTGAGTTGTAAGTCGTGCTTTAATACATAAATGTTAAACTAACAATATTCCATTCCATGTTTTTAGCTGATGAAGAATCGGCCCCTCGTTAATAGGAAAACCCGACGTTGAGTTGTAAGTCGTGCTTTAATACATAAATGTTAAACTAACAATATTCCGTTCCATGTTTTTAGCTGATGAATAATTAAATAGCAATTGAAAAAAAAATTACACAGATCACAGAATTGAAAATCTGAGACATTTTTTGCCGTTCGCTATTTCCGAAGACCACAATAAGTTGCTCAGATTTAAAAATAAACTCTGAATTTCTGTTCATACCCCGAATTATCAAACCCTTCTTTTCGATACTGTATTGATTAACGGCTCAGCGATTCGTAACACCCCTATAATTAAAACCACATCTAACTGATTAATCTCCTAACTGAGAAAAGAGGGCGCTCATACGCGAGTTATAAGTTCGCTATCAGAAAAATTCTATCTATTAATAGAAAGTATTATAACAACAATGGTGGGTCTACTACAAGACAAACTGTAATATTCCGGAAGATGGTTTGTAGATAATAAGGTCTACTGGACAAACTTACTTGCCTGTACAGATCAGTAAAACAAGATATGAGAGGGACGTTCAAAGGGACGAAGGACTTTCTTGCCCGCACGCTGAATATTAGTAAATTGGGGAAGACAGATAATGCATTATACGTCCCCTACCAGCGGTGACACGTTTTCACGATAGGGAGCGTTAAACACAATTCAAAGATGACAGCTTCGAGCTAGTTACTTCTGAGCGTTAACATGCTGTAACAACTGGTAAGTTGGGGTAGGAAAATCTACACACACACCCTATAATCCTGACATAGCGATTCGTAGCTCCTTTCTTTTCGTTCGGTCTTCTTCTCCGTAATGACCTCAATCTCAACTAACTGGGGGTCGGCCAGTATTTTTGTGAACCTAGAAAATACATCAATCATATCTAAAATATCTGGTCACACACACACTTTCATTTTTTAACGGTTATGACGATTTGATTTTATTTGGAGAATCATTAAGTTTTGAGCCTTCGGTAGGTTTTCTGCAGGGGCCAATGTGTTCATTGATGTGGGCTTACCCCATTCTGTAAACAAAATGCCCAATTTTGGGCAAATCTTATACACTGATAAAGCTTAAATTTCAATAGAATCGATTTATATGCTCGTTGCCCCCCCCCCAGTATGTCTGCGGACTTACAACGCTAGAATCCTGGTTTCGATACCCGTGGTGGGCAGAGCACAGATAGCCCATTGTGTAGCTTCGTGCTTAATTACAAACAAACAACCAAAAATATGCTCGTTATTGTTATAGCTTCTCTATTTCATGCACGATGAAGACTCGATATCAATGACTCTTGGCAATTCTGGGCAACAAGTTTACGTTGTACAAGACCTAAAGATGACTGGCTATACGGTTCCTCAGTTTCTAGGGTATCAAACTTTTGTTTTCACAAGCACCACCTACCAACGTTTAATACAGCAACTCTTAATACGCCAGCTTCTCTCAAGATAGCTCCCCCGGTGGGACAACAGTAAGTTTGGGCTCTTATAATGCTAGAATCCGGGGTTCGGTTCCCCTCGGGTCGACACAGCAGATAGCCCAATGTGGCCTTGCCCTAAAAAAAAAATTCAAACAAACAAACAAACTTTCGAGTTATTCCCATTGTTTGCGACTTCATTGTATTTCATCACTTCGCAAATAACAACATTACAAGCCAGCAGTGGTTTGTCCTTAGGTCAAGGGTCTCAAAAAATATTCCTGTTATTGAACATATATATATATAGTTTCTACAACTTGAAAACTTCTTTAAACACCTCATGAGCGTCTGCAAAGTTTTTAAATTTGTCTTGAACTTATATATAAAAAAACGAAACGTGTGAATTGAGAGAAAAAAAGAAGAATGTTTTAATTTGAATCATTATTAACTGAGTAATTAAGTACGCATGTCTGTACTTGTTATCATCTGAAAGCATACGACACACGACAAGTGCCTATTGCTTT